TCGTCATAAATCGTCGTCCGCTGAAAGCGTCGCATGTGCGCCGCTGACGGCGGAATCAATAAAGCGACGGCGCGGGTGATTTTAGAAAGCCGCCTTAAGGACGCGTTTACGAATTCACGCGCTTCAATTTTAGGTACAGAGGCGTACTACTACACGTGCACGGCTCACGCACACTGCGACAAGCGCGAAGCAGCGAAACTTTATGTAACTGACGCAACTTGATACTTTTATTTAATTTGAAGTCATTTATTTTTTAAGCTTACGTTAAATTTGTTTTCAACAAGTTTTTAAACTGAATATTTTTTTATATATTTAGGTATAATTTATTAAATTTCATTTAAAAGCTCGTAGCTGTTGATAATTTGCGTTTTAATTAATTATGTATATAATTTAATTTTATGTTTTAATTAATTTTTATGAAGTAAACGAAGCTTGTTTTATACATGTTTGATTATGCGTGCGGTAGGTAGATAGCTCGATAGGTAGGTAATGGTAGGGTACGTAGGAAGGTAGCTATGTAGGCAGATAATTAGGTAAAACCCGCTAACGAATTGAGTAAAATACTTTGTATGGTATTCTGAATGCATTTTGCTGATTCAATAATATTCATGCTAAATGTTAAAAAAAATAATTTTCTGTAAATGAATTGGAAATAGCATGGCGTACGAAGCCGGGCTAGTATCTAGAAACTAAAAATGAAATAATAAAACGAAGGAAACAAACTAGTAAAAATTAAAAAAACATTTTTATAAAAAAAAACCTGTCGCACTCGGCTCAGCTGGGGTAAAGCTATAGCATAGCATCTTTTATCAACTTATGCGATTATAATTATTTAATTATGCAGTATTTTTTTTCTTTGATATTTATATTTATGTTAATAAATAATAATATTTTAATAATATAATAATTAATATATATTATAATTAATAATATATAATTAATTTATATTATTTACAAAAATGATAAGAAATACTAAGTCAGTCACTAAGCCCTGGATAGTTAAATTACAATATACTAACATTTTTAAACTTGTGATATCTTTCGAATGGAATGTCCGAATTTAATCATTCAAAAAGTTATATAAAGATATTGAAACAGTCTTAAATATAAAGTAATTTATTTTTATAAGAATTAATACCAAGATACAAATAAAGAGCCTTTTCTAGCGGCGGCATTTCAATCAAAATTTTAAAGTAAAAGAATACTTATTGTGGCATAACTATAATAGTTAGACATATACTGTCGCAACACTTTTTATAAATAATTATGTGTTCTGCAAATTCGTAGTACATTATTTTATACAATTATCAATAGTTTTAGCAGCGCACGCGATGCAAACAATATTTTAGGTAATTTTTGTACACTTTGGTTTACATTATTCAAGTTTTAGTAAGGATTCCTAGTTTTTTGAAAATTTAATATATCCTATGTCATCCGGGGATAATGTAGCTTCGAGACAGTGAAAGAAATTTTCAAATCTGTTCAGTGGTTTAGGAGCCTATTCAATGCATAAAAACAATCAAATCTTTCCTCTTGCGTGGTAGGCGGAGTGGGTGGTGTTAGGTTTTATTTTCGTTACGGAATTTATTGATTCGTTCGCCGCGCTCAAAGCCCGCGATAAAACCTGTGCAATAGCTTAAAAAAATATTGTTTCATTTTTAATTTGACTCTTCCATGCTCTTCGCAGAACTGTCGCTATGTCGATCCTGGGTGGAGCAAGCCCGCGAGGCCAATTTATACCTCCGACACGAGGTTCTGGCTCCGCCTTTTGATGTTCACTCTAGGGATAGGGAAGACCACACGGAGTCGGGGTGCTCTGTGTCGGATCTTTGTGATTTTTCTTTATAGGTCTCTATCATTTAATTATTTTTGTTATCTATATCGAAGTAGTAGCCTGCTAAAATTTTATCGTTTTAGGCTTTGGCATCTGAAACAACAATTGAGTTATAAGAGGTATAAAATGTTGTATGTGATAACTGTGCCATAAAAATAAGTCTTTGATAATTTAAGTTGAGACCCACTACATTTTTACATAACTATTTTTTTTTTCGTGTTTTGCCTATTTTAAAGACGTTCTTACTTATTTTAAATTAAGTATTATTTTAGGCAGAATCCATGATCATAAAAGTTGATCAGTGCGAAACACGACAAAACAATAAACGATAAATGGGGTCATAAACGTGAAACAAAAAGTTTGCCACATAGCTGTCGTTCGAAACTTTTGAAGTACATGTTTATTACACCTATTCATTGAAACATACAAAAAAAATCTGACCTTTTAGACATGCCTAATCTTACAATTTGCAAGTGTGCAAATTTGTTTTGTATTACTTGTATTTTTAATTATCCATACAACTTTTCTACATGTGGTGTACTTTTGGCCAACATTTGGCTGCATGGAAATAAGAATTTATAATAAAATACCAGTAATAAATAATAATAGGTTCATAGGCCTCCCGGAGTATTTAAATTTAAACGAAAATTCTAAAATCTGTACACTGTCAAATTAGACATTTAAATATTTAATCATGTCTAAGTAATGTAGAATGTTTATATTAAAAATTCATTACTTTGACTTGTGATTTACTTTGACTTATATTTATACTCTATTGACTCATAATTATAATCTAAATTTAAATTTTTTTTTATATTAACATGTTTCACACAAATATTTATACACAGAATTGATGTAGAATACGTAGTTCCATATTTTAAATAACTTTTTTACTGTATTCTTACACCTTCATGCCAATACATCAATTTCAAAGGTAAGGTCTCAAAAAAACTCACAAAACAAGCCCAAACTCGACACACATAGCTCATCTCGTCTGTTAGTTCCAGTAGCAGTTCTCTAAGTACACCTTCAGGTCACTCCATCTAGTCAGAAGGCAAGATCTCACCATACCTAACAAAACAAGCCCAAACTCGACACACATAGCTCATCTCGTCTGTTAGTTCCAGTAGCAGTTCTCAAAGTACACCTTCAGGTCACTCCATCTAGTCAGAAGGCAAGGTCTCACCATACCTAACAAAACAAGCCCAAACTCGACACACATAGCTCATCTCGTCTGTTAGTTCCAGTAGCAGTTCTCGAAGTACACCTTCAGGTCACTCCATCAAGTCAGAAGGCAAGGTCTCACCATACCTAACAAAACAAGCCCAAAATTCGACACACATAGCTCATCTCGTCTGTTAGTTCCAGTAGCAGTTCCCAAAGTACACCTTCAGGTCACTCCATCAAGTCAGAAGGCAAGATCTCACCATACCTAACAAAACAAGCCCAAACTCGACACACATAGCTCATCTCGTCTGTTAGTTCCAGTAGCAGTTCTCTAAGTACACCTTCAGGTCACTCCATCTAGTCAGAAGGCAAGATCTCACCATACCTAACAAAACAAGCCCAAACTCGACACACATAGCTCATCTCGTCTGTTAGTTCCAGTAGCAGTTCTCAAAGTACACCTTCAGGTCACTCCATCTAGTCAGAAGGCAAGGTCTCACCATACCTAACAAAACAAGCCCAAACTCGACACACATAGCTCATCTCGTCTGTTAGTTCCAGTAGCAGTTCTCGAAGTACACCTTCAGGTCACTCCATCAAGTCAGAAGGCAAGGTCTCACCATACCTAACAAAACAAGCCCAAACTCGACACACATAGCTCATCTCGTCTGTTAGTTCCAGTAGCAGTTCCCAAAGTACACCTTCAGGTCACTCCATCAAGTCAGAAGGCAAGATCTCACCATACCTAACAAAACAAGCCCAAACTCGACACACATAACTCATCTCGTCTGTTAGTTCCAGTAGCAGTTCTCGAAGTACACCTTTAGGTCACTCCAACAAAAATCAGAAGGCAAGGTCTCACCATACCTAACAAAACAAGCCCAAACTCGACACACATAGCTCATCTCGTCTGTTAGTTCCAGTAGCAGTTCTCGAAGTACACCTTCAGGTCACTCCATCTAGTCCGTAACGAAATATGAATTTTTAACCCCTACTAATTTCTAGAGGAGCCGTGATAGCTCAGTGTCCGGGCGCTCGCCTTTAATTCAATATACTCGAGCAACCTGAGTTCGATCCCCGGTGCCGGCACCAATGAAGTTTTTAACTTTAAGTGCTGACTTATCACGTGCTCCGCGGTGAAGGAAAACATCGTGAGGAAACCTGCATATTTTCGAAATAATAACAAAAAATATTTCGAAGATATGTGAAGTCCGCCAATCCGCAGTGGGGCCGCGTGGTGGACTATGCCCTGATACCCTCTGTATAGAGGAGGCCTTTGCCCAGCAGTGGGACATGTATAGGCTGTTACTTACTTTACTTTACTACTTTACTAATTTCTAGTAAAAATATGACAAAGTGTGAATTATAGTTTACTTTTGTCGTTCGTAGTCCGAAGTCCGAACATGATGTGTAAAGTATCAACTTTGTTACGACAAATATTTTGTATTCGTACAGCGATCTTTTTCCTCACGAGCTGCTGTTTATAAGCGACATAGTGACCACTCATGACGGCAGCCGAGCGCCGACTAATATTTCTTTGTGGAATAAATCAAAAAAGTGACCAGTAAAATAACCTTTATGTCAATCACTTAAGATTCACGCGTAAGATATAAATGTGAAAGAAATAGATTTTAATCTTTATTTTTTTCTGAAACTAATTTCAACAATTTTGATACGTAATGTAGCTACCTTTTTGAGTTGAACATGTGTGCTTAAATAAAATATTTTTAAATAAAAAAAATATGTTATTAAATAAGAGAAAAATGTTCCTAAACCCAACAGGATATCGTCCATTTTGAGTGAAGTGGTCACGAAAATTCTCATTTACAATATTATAAACCAAAATTTTCGATTAAAAACTATCTACCATTTGAAGATGAAGGAGGGATCTATATGTGATAATTATTACTTACATTATATTCGTTTCGTTTTGCCGCAAAATGTACCTGAAAACCCCCTATTTTTGCAGATTCCGCGAGATTTCGCAAACACGCCCTTAAGCCGTACGTAGGGCGAAGAAGGCGATGCGAGTGTGGAGCCGCGTGCGACGTGCCTCCGGTACGGCGTCACCTACTTTCACGTGCAGCAGCGAAGCGGCAGGCGGAATGGCGACGCGCAAGGTCGCCGTGAGGCAAACAACTCGTCGACAGAATTTCTTCGAGGCGGCGACACGCGCATACCAGTACGGCATCGGATCGCGGCCGCAATAAAAACTCTCGGATATATTTCACGCGTGTGCAACGTTATCTCGGCGCTCTCGTCTCCTATTACTTAATGCTATACCGCTAACCGTACACGGGCGAGCGAAACGACACCGAGTTTTTGTTCCGCGGTATGCTTGACAATCACGATGGGCGGACCAACAAGGGGTGCTTACCGGGTGGCTGTCAAGCGCCTGAGCACTATAAGATACGCCTTATTCATGCAACATCAAGACGCCCTTCAATATGCTTTTAAAAGTAAACATTAAAATATAACATTTGCTACTTTCGAAGTGCTAAAACGAAAGTTAAACACTTACATCATGTCTGCTAGAAATAATTTCTTTAAATTATCATGGTTTCTCAGTGTGGTTCAATGTGAATTACTACGTATAACATTAACATACTATTTAATGGTGATTGATCATTGTTTGAGGAATCATGTAAGTTCATATTCAATTTGTTTTTGCAAAACCCATGCCCTACTGTTTCTAAAGATGACCGCTCTGAGACATATTATTAAGTTATTGATATTTATTGTATTAAAAATTTAAAACTATGTCATTCTTGCCTGGCAAAACTAGATAATTGTAAACGTTACGATTAATTAGATAATCTAACTTAATCTGCAACCCTTTTACCATCAGGTAAATCGCCAGCTCACTTGCCAACTTCTAACACATAAAAAAGACTTTCGCAAACAGTATATACAGCGTTATTGTTCTTACTGTTGGGCGATTGTCGAGATGGACAAGGATAAAAAGAGTTTTTATTGTGTAAGGCCCTTACACTTTGAACAGTGAAAGTGTACTTCAGCTCAAAACTAGAAATAAAACTTCTTTTTATAAATTCTAAACGTTCATTCCGTATACTGTACAAATCAGACACATTGGGCATCGTGCAGAGAGCTCATAAAAAGGCCATGTTTCACGGTCTTGATAGACTTTATCCAAACAGAGTCAAGCATGTGGTTATGCGTGAATTAACGACGATTGTCGGAGATGAGTCCTGGAAGTCTCCGATTTAGACGGCTGTCGACGGTGTTGTTCGTTGGTATTGAACGGTGAGAACCGTCCCGGGACGCCATGTATGTTGTATACGCAGTTAACAAAGAACTATAGTATGTTGTAAGTTATCGCTACATCATGCATAGTGTTGTCGAGCGCAACCTCCAATAGGTCCAGAACACTTTCCGTCGACTGGGTAGGTCAAGTTAGGGTTCTGTTCGTAATTACAATTGCTACCAGAGGATTGAATGTAGATTTAGTGAGATAGTAACTCGAAACCTTATTTTTTAATTCATTCATGTGTGTACGAAATCATATGACGGCGTCGAATTTAACCCTTTATTTTACCTTCTTGAAAAGGATCGGTTGGTCGAAAAGAGTTAATTACCGCCTGACAAGCCCGGGTGAGTGGCATTGGTGACCTGAGACTCAATCCCAACAACAAGTAGAATTTATACATGTATTTTATTAAAAAAAAGATCATAAGACTTAAAAGTACCTACCAATTCATAATCGAAAGGCATACTCAATATCCAATATCATTCAATATTCTTACACAACATTGTGAAATGTCTGCGATTCTGTTTCAGATGTTCTTACCGTGTTTCAATGCATAAGATAACAACAGTTTTAAGCAAGCGTAAAGAAAGGAGCAATTGTGTATTAATAAGAAAATCCGTTTGCACTTAATCAGGATCCAAAATTGTCTCGACAAACAAAAGGTAATTACGGATTCTCCTTCAATATTTACGTAAGATAAATCTCTGTACAGTGGCATACGATTATCGTTATGGTAATGAGATCATGATATCCTAGATAACTTATCTGCTTCACAATTGCTTGATTTATTTTTACCTTTGCCTAAATAGAACAGCATTAGCAACAGCATTTTATCGATTTAAGCAATTACAAAAATCATTTTTATTGTCATATTTTTAATGATAACAGTAGTTTTCCTTGTTTTGAAACTACTGCGCAGTGTTTCGTTTAAACACGTATATATAAAATATAAAAATATTTAACGTACATTATACGTGTACATTTACATATACTTTGGATTAATTAATCGATGACACTGATATTCCCCTGTGGTTGGGCTTTCCTGTCGTTACGCAAATTTGCAGGCTCTCCGGAAAAGTACCGCAGCCTCCGAAGCCTACCGAAGATAGGTGTTATGTGCAAATATTATACATTTCAGTTTAGTCTGATAAAGTCTGCCGTGATACCTCATTGTCCGGGCGCTTGCTTTGGAATCAATATACTCGTTCAACCCGAGTTCAATCCCCAGTACCGACACCAAGAAAATTGTCAATTTTAAGTGCTGTCTGAAAAGACAGAGCATGTGATACACTCAGCCGTGAAGGAAAACTTCGCGAGGATATCTGCATACTTTAGGAAAAATAAAAATTTTTTCGAAGATATATGAAGTCTGCCAATCCGCAGTGGGGCTGCGTAGTGTACTATGTCTTAATATTCTCTGTACAGAGGAGGACTTTGCTCAGCAGTGGGACACGTACAGGCTGTACTTACTTTACATTTGGTAAAAGAGGTAACTGTCCACACTTTTCGGCTCTATAACGTTCACTATTTGACAGATTATGAAATAATTCGAGCAATTTCATAGGTTTCTGCAATTAAAACACTGCTTTCTTCTAGATTATACCGCATTACTATTACAACTATTTATCAAAGTGCGCATAATTGAAAACGATGTAACAATCACTCACTAAGTGATTCTAGCTCATTTGTAAAAAATATATATACAATTTATTTATTATCTCCTTTATCTTACACTTTTCAGGAATCATATTTTACATTCTTTTACTTATCAGCAATAGTTACCATTTTTGTTTACGCAAGTCTTTGTCTCCTTTCACATTTACTTAAACTTGGCTTGTGACATGACATTTATCCCTTAGCACGGAACTGTTAAGCCTACTCAATACCATCCAAGGAAGATTTAAATGGGTCTTAAAGACAATGGCGTCATTGACTCGGATCCGCTAAACATTGACTTGTATTAACCAGGCAGATCCACATATAGGAAGTAAAAAGTAAAAAATTTATATAAAGTAAGAGGCGGTTATTTTAATTCTTCAAATACATATTAATAACCCTTAAACTTCAATACCTGAGTTGTCGTCCACGTTTCCCTTGCATTGACTGTTTAGCGCGACTAGTAAAACGTAACATAAACGGAAATATAATTAAGATAAGGTATAAGTATATATATATAACCTTTGAGAAAAATTTAGTACACATAATTATAATTCTATTGTCCGAATAAATAAAAGCTGACGCATGACTTGCCTTGTGCCGAAATTAAAATAATATCTTTGAAATTAATATTTTGTATATCGTTATTCTCTTATCGACCATCATTAATAGCAACACAATTTGTAAATGCTCCGTCGTCCCCAATAAGGAAAAATTCTATCTGATTAACGGAAATATCAATTATAGGCAATATGTATTATATGCATACATAGCAAAAGAATAGCAATTTTTTTTTGCCACGCCCCTTGTATAGTACTACGGGTACAGAACTGTGCTGATTGCAACAAAAATATCAAACTTTCAGTACCATCGTAATTTTTTAACCCATCCAATAAACCCAATCATCAACAGGAACGGCCGAACGGAGTTTTCGATGAGTTAGACGAAAATTAAAGAATTCATTGTAGCGCGAACAATGAGCATCGTTGATTGCGTAGCGGGGCTTCTGGCGCGACGGCTAATTGAATTAACAGCCCTGAACACAACATGTCCATTAGGCGGTCTCCGCAAACACGAGGAAAGATGTCGACGGCAACTTAACGGGCTGTCTTGGGATTACAATGTTGAAACAGTTTTCGACATACTTATAGGGTTGCCACGATTTCATTCAATAATTATTGTAACTCACTCTAACCATTTCTTGAATTCGCTGATAAGATCGGTCACGTAGGTTCGTAAAAAGTCTAGATAAAGTGATTAAAAAGAGTTCCTCAACTATATTTCATTCATTTGCAACTCCTCTGGTTGCCAATAATCATTCATGTTGATCGCTTCCATTGACTGAACCACTCACTTGTTTGCATCCGTTTCCATGAAACAAGATTGTCCCCATATGGTTACTTATAAAACGTACGTACGTACCAAAATTAAGATTATAAGAAAAAATGAATTGGAATTATTAAGGAAAAAATAGGCTTGATCTATTACATCTATTTTGATTGAAAGGACGATTCAACACAAAAAATTTAGTGAAATCAAATAAAATTAAGAAATAGAACTATCACTAATAACTTATTGTGCTTATTGGCCAAAGATTTTACTCACTTTAATTCAATTATCATAGTAAGCGATAAAAAAATCACTTGGCAACACCAGCTTTAAACGGTTTTAGTTTGTAGTCATCCATTGCAACATTGATTTACATATAAGTGTACACCTGTACCAAAGTCAATGCATAATTTAATCATTTTCAACCGACTTTCAAAAAAATGAGGAGGTTCTCAATTCCGTTGTATATTTTTTTATTTATGTAACCTCAGAACTCCGTCAATTATGAATAGATTTTAAAAATAATTTTTCTCTGGGTTCGGTGTATCTCCCATGTCGTCCCATATTAATTTGATAGGTACATAGGCACATCAGGGACCACCACTATACATAGAAAATGTACAGAATGAAGTCGGTTTTTTATTGTAAAATAAAAAGGTACTTTTGGATTAAATAATCAACGCATTCATTTTGTATATATGTATTTTCGAGATGTTTGAAAAAATCTATATTATAAAACGAGTCCTACCTAGCTTTCGAAGCCATTCTCTAGCTAAATTGCAATGTGACCATCAAAGTATCGAAATACAGAGTCAGAGGTTATTACAAACACAAAGCGAAGAGTTTTCAAGAGAAAACATGGTCGAATAAAGAAATAATTCTGAACTAGTTAGTTATCTGAGATTTGTAAGCTTGGAACTGACGTTTCAAAGGACGGTGATTCAGATTGCATCTGGGTGTGGCGCATGATAGGGTGCGGGTATCGTCCGGCCCTCCCACCTTGAGCACGCCTCCACCTACATTCCTACCTCACAAGTTACGCCACGCAACAAAGCTTTGAGAAAACGCAAATAACTTTTACTATTTAAACATATCCCAAAGGCGTACATGTTAGCAATAACGTCTAATTTTGGTTGTGAATATGGAATAGGAGATCATATATTGCAAAGAA